TTGGATTTTTGTTTCCTATGTGGCATCATCAGCACCTAGATGTCTGAAGGCTTTAATCTAGCTGTATCATAAACACCATGAGTAATCTGAAAGATCCTCAATTCTTCCTCAGTAGCATATTGAGTGCCATCCGTTATATCATCAATCACTTTACCTTGTCTATTTATGGATAAAACATAGGGGTGGTTTTCTATTGCCTTCTCCTGCCTAGTTTGAAATGATGCCTTTGCTGTTGTCACTAAAATGATTATCTGCCTCCAGCATCTTCCTATATTAGTGCTGCCCAATTTGGTCTAGTCAGTGGTTACTGAGTTAGTTAAATATTGCCTTAGGCCTGAAAGCTGGCTGGGTGAATTTGGGCCACTCCTTTCTCTCAGCCCAACTCACCTTGTTGTTGAGAAAATAGGAAGCGGAAGGAGTATTGGGTATGTTTGCTACCATATTTATAAAAATAATAAAGGCGAGTTAAAAAAATATTTTAAAAAATGTAGCTTACTTTAGCTGGGCAGCTAATCAGACTTTCAACAGTATGGGTGGATAATGCTTTAGAACTAAACTAGTTAATACTGAATATGCATTTTGGGTATTTTTGTTAAATTGCTTTGTTATAGGTTTACAGTGTCCTGCATTATCTTTTTTAAAAAAAATCTCACATATAGCTACATTAATACAGGTATCATCTCATAGCTGGAGCCCTTAGTAGGAGTAGGCTACATTCTGCTAGTATATTTTGAGCCTGTTCAATGGAAAGTAAAGAAAAATGGTAGAAACATATATGAGTATATGCCCCCTGTTGTGATTGGCAGTGAAATAATGTTCAGATTATTGTACAAAATCCCTAGCTAATGTTTTTAAATTTTTGGAACACATAAGAGGGAGAGCTTATGGATTTTGGCTTCCTTGCTTTTCCCATAATTCAGCTTCTGAGTGAAATAGCAGGATTTGCCAATGGCCAGCTTACAAGAGTGGGTAGGGACTGTCGCATCTAACATGTTTCACAGCAGCTGAGGACACATATTTTCTCACCAGCTCTCATCTCCTGGGCAAGTGATAACAAGTGATAACAAATGCAAGCACAAAGTTCTTAATTATCAATCTCAGAGCCTAATCAAACATTCCCTCAATATTTAGCAGGCAACTATACCTCCTGTTTTCTCTGGATTCATTACAAATGCAAAGAAAGGAGAAGAGGGACTCTTATAAGGAGGTGAGGTTTAACCCTCTCCTCCCCAGCATGATTGTAATGGACTTCCTGCATGGCATACTTTGAGCATGTATAACAAAAGTACAAGTACTAACTAAGGTGTGTCAGTGTTTGTGTGTGTCTGTGTGTATCAAAGATTAGGAAAGAGAGTTGGCTCTGATCACAAGGGAGAAAAAAAAAACCCAGTTCCTTCTCACTGCACTGGTAACGTATACTAGAAAGCTGGACGTATAACACATACTGTGTACTGAGGAATGTCTAGCTTCATTCTCAGAACCCAGATTTACCCTGTTTCTAAAGAACTTAACAACATCATGAACTGAATGACTTCTCCTCCCTCCCTTCGCCTGCCGTTCATTTCTGCTCAGAATTCAATCATAGCAGTCTCAGCTCTGGTATTCCAAGAAAAGCATTCTCCATCCTGGAATTTCCCTCAAACAGAGAAATGTAATTCCTTGTAACGCATTCAAGTGCTGCGGCTACAAAGAAGTTACCCAAGTGCTCTGTGAGCATGGTCAGTAGTGCCTAAGCATGTGTACATTACATCTTCTGCTAGACTAAATATTATTTTCATTGCCCGAAAAAGTGACATACAACCTTCCCTTCTTTCTATCCCAAAAGTCAATGGTAGGATTATCAGGAAGCAGGTTTGAATCATTGTGAGCTAATAGGAACCCCTCCAGCTGTCCAATAACAGACCACCAAAGACATGACTCATCACCAGCCTATCAGTTGCTGATCCAGTTGACCAATAGGCGAGTGAATGTTGTGTTACTTAGTCCTCCCCCACAAACCAATACAGCAAGAATAATCTTCTTGCCAAAACAGGACAACAAAAGACAACACGATGTCTTTTACAACATAATGTCTAATGCCACATAATAACATTTCAGAGATTAGATGCATGCAGTTCTCTGTTAGGAGATGACGCTGCCTTGGCCTGGTGCTCCATAACTGCCTGTGCTTGCTGTCCTATGGAGATTGTGATTGGTAAGAGAAGGTGTCAGGAGAGAGGATGGAATGGGGGAGGGTTTCAAAGAAAAAGAGGTTGGGAGTGGGGGTAGGAAAGGCAGTGGCGACAGCAGGAAGGGGTTGTCTCAGGCTGGAGCTGTTGCTAGTGCCAAGCTACCATCTGTGGCATTGTGATCCCAGCAGGCACAGAGGAAGGAAGTGGCAGCCGAGAAGGTAGGGGTTAACATGAAAATTGAAAATAAAGACACAAGAGAGCAATTAGCTTCTTAGAACGGAAGAAAAGCTCCCCCCCTCTTTTTCTGGGAATGGGGTGAAGAACAATCAAACCCATCAAATCCATAATGGTTGGGGGGGGGGTTTCTTACCACCTGCATATTTAGGGTGGAGTGTGTGTGTATGTGATTATGATCTTCCATATCAGATCCTTCTTGGATGTTGATTACTCTGCTAGTTTAAAGGCAGGGAAATGCTATTTCTTTGACTCTGAAGATGATTAGTTTTATGAAAATTTGGCATCCTAAAAGTAGATGTATACTGAGACATTAAAGAAAAGACTGGGACTTTGGGACAACAGCAACATTGTACTTAATTTTATTTTAATAATAAGAACTAGAGACAGAATTTTGAACAAGCCTGCTGTAGGATATGCTTCACTCCCAGTCAAGGCACTAACTATTTATTTTGGACTAGTTTCTTTGTGATATCTTTGGATGACTAGGAATGGTTGAATCTGTCCCTTTTGCATTTGTTCAATTTCCTGTTTATCCACTTTTATGTTCACTTTGTCCCATTCCTGCATCAGTTTATTATTTTTTTTAAATTTGCATAAAACAAATTTGGGATTTTTTGCACATTTCACCAAACAGATGCAATCCCGTAAGCGTTTTTTCATAACGTACAATATACACTTTTATATTTGCATAACATATTATAGTATATGTTTGCAATAAATATAATAAGCATGCAATCACGTACAATGTTTTAATGCACTTTTATTGGGGAACCATGCCATAAAGTGTTGAGAAGTGCAAATCCTGAAATGGAACCCTGTTTCATTTGTAAATTGCTTGGGGAACTATAAACTAAGTTTGCATTGGAATGTGAATGGAAGACATTTTTCCATTATTTTTAGATTGGCCTTAACTTTGTTTTTTTTTTCTTTTCTTTTCCCTCCACCGCCCCCCCCCCTTTTTTTTTTTAAAAAATACACACTTTGCTTAAGTCTAGATGCAGAGAGCTAGGATGGTATCAGTAATGGCAGTGTTTTCGTAGTTCTGAAAGTTGCTGATTTGGCAGCAGCAACAGTTGCTTGAAAGAACCAAGTTTTTGGTGCAAAGAGACAGCATACAGTATTACTTCAGATCTCTAGAATTATATCTCTGTGACTCCCCTGCGTGTTGGCAGGCAATCAATAAATCAGTTCCAAAAAGAAGCTAAAGAATTTTCTTCTTGCCTCCAACTTGGCAGAAACAAATCCTCAAATATAGTCCATCTGTGTTATTTCAGCACAAATTTTAAGCATTACAATTATTACTTATCTCTGAAACAAGTCCAATATGTGTAGTTTAAATAAGTAAGTTATCTTTGATCTTTCCATTTAGCATAGATCAGTGTTTCTCAACCTTGACAATTTTAAGGCATGTGGACTTCAACTCCTAGAAGTCCACAGCCAGCAATGCTGGCTGTGGAATTCTGGGAATTGAAGTCCACATGCCTTAAAATTGTCAAGGTTGAGAAACACTGGCATAGATGAATACGGAGAATGATAATGGGGAAACTGAATGTGATTTGTTAGGATCTGTCCCTAACTTTGTTTGATCAGAGTGTTTCGTTGATATTGCTGAATTACTTGTATATACTTTTAAACTGGTTTTTCATACAAACTACATAGGTAATCCAATGTTACACCTTCTCTTCTAAGCACATATGATTGCAACTCTGATGAAATTGATCTAGGAGAGAACTTAGCCAACCATGGAATTGAACAAAATGTTTGGCTGCGTCCAGCTGTGGTGGCAGCAGTGAGACAGTTACGGTTTCATACATGATGGAATTGTAGGAATAAGAAGGAATTTTTTTGCCTGAGCATGTTAAATTTATAGAATGTACTTCTGGGCTAGGCTGTTCACAAAATAACAACAAGCAGCTAGGTAATACTCATTAAATGTAAAAAAAAAGGCAGATTGCACAATTGGTTATTTGCACTGCAGATTTTTTTTTCCTTTGCAACTCTGCATAATTCTGGTTCTGTCCTTCGTGGGTAGGTAAGTGAAAGAAAGTCAGACATCATTTCACAAATATTTCCTCAACTATATAAAATAGGAATCTCTTTTTCTAACCACAGGATAGCTGCATTCCCAAAGGAAACAGAGTCCTGTGACTATTACCAGACAGTTGGCTTTTACTGCAGTCCTCCACCATCATGGCATACACGTATCTCTGGGCAGGGTATAATAGCCTGAGACTTCAGGCTCACTTAAGAGTCCTGAAGGACTGAGGCAAAGCCACCACAGTGCCTCCACATGTCGTCATCAAATTATATATTTTTTTATCTGTTAGAAGGAGGAAGTCATGAAATGTAATCCCATTTCCTCTTTGATTTGATTTGATTTGAATGTTAATGATGTTTAGAATGAAGCTGAATGTTAACGCTTCCACTGGCCCACTCTGAGGTGACCATAGGAACACACCTCTGCCCAAAATGGAGGCTGAAGGTGTAGTGATTTGATGGCTTCTCTTCTAATAGACGGAGTCTGCCCACATTTGTCCCATTGCTTGCAGACCCTTTGGCAGCTTTTTTATCTTCTCTGTGTTTCATTTGCAGCCAGATGGCACCAGCAAAGAATGTGTCTTCATTGAAAAAGTCTTGGAGAACAACTACACGGCTTTGATGTCAGCAAAGTACTCAGGCTGGTATGTTGGATTCACCAAAAAAGGGAGGCCCCGGAAAGGGCCCAAGACCCGGGAGAACCAGCAAGATGTCCACTTTATGAAACGATATCCAAAGGGACAAGTGGACTTACAGAAACCTTTCAAGTATACCACAGTGACGAAGAGGACTAGGAGAATACGACCAACCAACCCCAGTTAAAAGACCAAGGCAGTGTCTTACAAATAAACTACAAGAATAAACTGTACCAGAGAAATATTTTTACACTAAAAATAAGGGAGAAGCTCTATTTTTGTACATTGTTTTTTTTTAATTTTTTTTTTTAAAGACTGGGTTGAAAATAGAAATCCACTGGGGAAGCTGTAAAAGATTTATTGTAACTTGAAGAAGAAGAAAAAAAATGAATGGCTCTATTTAAATTGACTTTTTTGTGCTGTGGATTGACATACAGGTGCTTTATTTCTCATTGGGAATGGACGACGTTTGGAATGGACAACATATTCAAGCCAATCCCTAGAGGGGAAAAAGTTCATGTTATAATAATAATAATAATTAATAATAATACTAAAAAACCAAAACCACAAAACCAAAGAAAGCCAAAGTTCTCTCCCCCCCCCTCCCCGGTCCAACCCCTGAAAATCCTTGGATAATTCTCTGGTGTTGCAGCCCTTGGTTACTTTGCCTCTTCAGGCTAGGCTGAGATATGAAAATCTGCTGATCTAACATGGGGCTTCCCTGGAGGGCTCAGTACCTCAATCCTTTGTAATGTTTCCAATGACATAAGGTGTCACGACTCTGTGATCCTGCATTGTTCTGTTCACTTCTGGAGAATGCTGCTAATGACCTTCAAGTGACTAAGTAAAATAACCTAATACACCAATGATAAGGGAGTATTTTAAAAACCAGCTCTATTATATATATATATGAATGCATGTATTATATTTATGCACATAAATGTAATACATATATTTATATATATAAATATATATGTATTATATTATAAAGCTATTTATTTCATTTCTCTGTATATTGCAGTTCCATGAACCAGGTATTACTGCCTCAGCAATTAAAAATTATTTAAAACACATAGACGTATTACTGCTGTTCGTACATTCCCCTCTCCCCCAGCTTTTCGCCAAACTACACTGAGATCCTTAAGCTTGTTACCAGAACTTGGACTCAGTGAGAATTTAGAGATCAGTAATAGAATTTATGTGCCAGGACAGGAAATAATTGTTTCTCCTTTGTTAATGCTAGTCCTCCATCTCTTCCCATTCCACTGTGTTGACTTCCTGCAAAAGGCTCAGCCTTGTCCAAGTGCGGGCAGAGTTTTGAAATGCGGTGTGCAAAGGATTTCTTCTTGCTGTGTTCTCTTGCCCATTGTGTTCTACTGGGACCAAGATGACTTGGGGACCACCTGTTATTAAGTGCTTAGTGGGGATATTGGGATCCCCTTACTGATACGCCCCCAGTGTGTCCTCTCCACAACGCAAGGTGACCTTCCTGCTCTTAGTCAGCCAAAGGCTTCTGGCTTTTCTATCCAAACTGGAACAAATCAAGGTCTGAAGACACTGCTAGAGCTGGAGCACACTGGAAGTAGTCCTCTACCTGGGACAGGAGCAAGAGGACAGAGAGATAAAGTGGCAAGGCCTGGGGAGCTAGTGTGCTTACCTACAGAAGATTATGTACTTTTTTTTTAAAAAAAATGCACTCTTAGTCAAAAGCCTTTTAAAATAAACTTTATTTTCCTTAAATAAGAAAAAGGATATGTTGTGATTGCTCAGAATAATTTTCAGTATGTGTATTGCTGTAGAAATGTTCTCAATGAAGCGAATGGGAGAGAAAGCAAGAGAGAAAGCAAAAGCATGTGGGAGGCTCAGTTGTTAATTGTCCAATGAGCAGTTTTTTTCTCCCTTCCTCTTTCAGTTTTCCTATCAAGATGACTTGCAATTAGCTAAACCTTGCCCACGTTAGGATTTATATTTATTCAGCCTGATGCAGCCCTGCTACTCTGTAAAAAAGAAATAAAAGGATTAGCTAAACTGCAGTGATGTCAAACCTATCATACACATGTCAAAGGTGACATGCTATGACATTTTGGGTAACATGCTAACATTCACCAACACCTGACAACTTTATTCTCAAAACCATGCCCTATTCTAACACTTTTTTGGGAGAGTGTGCAGGCCGTATGAGAATAAAGTATCCTCTGAACCCTTCAGTGGTCATGTGAGAGAGCCATGCTCTCATATGGTGTCTGCAGCTTCCAAAATACACAAAAATGGGAGGATTTTTTTAGACCACAGAAGCCATGGAAGAGCATACTTAGAAGCTGTTTCAAGAACGAAGATCCTTTGCTACCCAGAGCAGCCTCAAGTAGGCTACAGGGCCTGTCAACAGAAAGAAAATGTCACTTGAAAGTAAGCAGTGCATGGCAAATCCTGAGGAGTGCTGGGCTGTGAGGGCAATCACACCATTCTCCAAGGCTCCTGCGCCTTGGGGAATGGCACAAGGTGCTTTTTGGAGTGGCAGCAGTAGCTCTAGGGCTGAAATTGAGGCCTGGGACTCTGCTTCAGGCCCAGCCTCGGCATTGCTGAGTGCTGCTATTCCAGATGGCCTAGACCAGGGTGTCAAACTGACAACGTTACATGATGTATCGCAACATATTACAACTTTCCATTGTCGGTAATGAGGTGGGCGTGGTTTCAGCATGACACATCCAGCCCACCAGCCGGCAGTTTGACACCCCTGGCCTAGATGGTGGTGGGGTCGTGATGGGGGAAGAATTAGTTGTTTTTGTTTAGGTCAGTGGTTCTCAACCTTTTTAATGCTGCGACCCCCAACTGGTCGTAAGTCGAGGGCTATCCAATTGGTCGTAAGTCGAGGACTTTCCCTGCCCGGGAGCACTGCGCATGCATGGTGCCGCCCCCTGCACCGGCCAAGGCGTAGCTGGCAAGTGGCAGAGACGGAGCAGGCCGACCACCGGCTGGGCCACCAGCTGGCCCAGCCCAAGGGAGATAAGGCACCCACCGGGCCCCACGCACGCCAGCAACCCTCCCTGCGCCCGCTGGCCTCCCACCTCCCATCCCTGGCCCTCTTTTACTTATATTTTTAGTAGTTGCTCAGCAGGGAGGGTTGGAAACTTCCACACAGCTCGCCTTCGCTGCAGACAACTTGCAGCACCGTTTACAGAATGGGACTTTTGGCGGGCTCAGCAGGGCAGAGACAGCCTGGACAATTCCTATTGGCTTTTGAAAGCCAATAGAATTAGACTCTATTCAAGAGAGTCTATTCTATTGGCTTTCAAAAGCCAATAGAATAAAAGGGAGTAGCACAGCTAAGGAAAAGGGGAAAAAATGGCGGACTGTGTTGTTTGGCGACCTCTGTGAAATGGTCATTCGACCCCAAATGGGGTCCCGACCCACAGGTTGAGAACTGCTGGTTTAGGTGCTGTGTGTGTGTGTGTGTGAGAGAGAGAGAGAGACATGCTAACAGAGTCAGGTTAGGCATTTTCCAAAGTGACATACCAAGCCTAAAAAGTTTGCTATCACTGCTAGACTTCAACCAATAAAACTAGTGATGGGAGTGGAGCAGGAATGAGGAATGTTCCCATCCCATGACTAGTTTTCACATGGACTAGTCTGACCATTGACCAGTGGCATTATGGACTTTGCTCCCCCCTTCTTGTAATTCTTCTATGGTGTGGAAAAAATGCCAAGCAAGATGCTGCCTGCTTCAGAGATTTGGCCTGTCTATGAGGAGCACAGTGAGTACAATGATGTAGGGAAAAGAGATATGTGTGCTCATGCTTCCTCTTTCATATTACGGTAACAGCTGTCAGGTTGGGATAAAAGCTGAGGGACAACTGATCTGGTTTCCTAAAGCATATAACTAGGCAAACTCTTGAATCCCAAAATTTAGAATTGTGTTTTGGTCCTACTTCATGCACATGCATTATATTTCAGGTTAACACAGGACAGATTGGGATCTCTGCTTGCATATCTGATAAACCTAGTGCTGGTACTTTGACTGATGCAATTCTCTGTCTTCATGGTAGGTAATTCTGTTGAACAAGGCTTTTACAGGCATTATTCATGATAAGCTCACTGATTCAGAAATGTATTGGAATAGCAATAGCACTTAGACTTATGTACTGCTTCACAGTGCTTTACAGCCCTCTCTAAGCGGTTTACAGAGTCAGCCTATTGCCCCCAACAATCTGGGTCCTCATTTTACAGACCTCGGAAGGATGGAAGGCTGAGTCAACCTTGAGCGGTGAGAATCGAACTGTCGAACTGCTGGCAGTCAGCAGTCAGAAGAATTAGTCTGCATTAGTGCATGCTAACCACTGCACCACCATGGCTCTGTTATAATTGTGGGAAGTAATCTAAGTAACCTTGAGACCTTGATGAGTGCATGTAAATATTTGAGAGGTTACTATTCTTGATGCTTACAAACAAAGGATGACCTGGATATAAGTTTTCCTTGATTCATGTATACCAAGAACAATACTGCCAAATTAAAGACTTAGTTAACAGACCTTTCTATTTCACTTCAATTTGCAGTTAGGTGCTCATTGTTATAAAAGAGATGTATCCAATCGATGATTTTCACGATTCAATTATCACTTTTGGCTACATCAACAGACTTTTATATTCTGAATAATCATGAAATTAAAACCTATTGAGCAAATATTATAGATAACTGGTGTTTCATAAACGGGCAGAACATTACAATTTAAAAAAAATTATTGAAGCAATTTGACAACATCAGCTGTTAGCAATCAGATTTTGGGGATGTAAATTTGTGATTGCCTCAGAGACCAAAATGTCTTAGACTAGCAAGTAGTATAAGACAAAATACAGTAAAGGTGGCAAAGGATTATTAATCACCTTCAAATAATTCCCAGTGTGAATTGATCCTTCTTCCAAAATGTTTGCTGCCCAGGGATAGATGTGAAACCACTGCAAGAAAATCAGAAATCACATAAAAAAAATGGTTGCCTTTACTTCAGATATAAGATTTGAACCATTTGGCTTACTTTACAAGAGAGATGGTTATTGAGAAAGGAAGATTTCTCACAGGAAAAAGGAGCCAGAAGAAACTCTACAAAGACATTCAGAAAAGAGCTTTTTTGTTTGTTCAATAAATGAACCTTGCAGGTAAGTAGCAAGACTTGCTCATAAGGAACAAGAAGGAATGCCAGCCATGGGGATTTGCAAGGCATTCATACTTTAAATTACATTCCCTCTTGTAATGACAACTGGGATCAAACCTTGGACACAGGATATATTATTATGACTTAAGATAGGAACCAAAGTAATGTTTCACCAGTTCTTCAAGCTTTCAGCAATAATGGGAGAGCATTAGGAGATGGGACTGGTAGTAAACTTAGAAGAATGTGAATGATGCTAAGAGTCAACAATTCCCATTACAAATCTACATTCCAACCCTGTATATAGTAATTTAAAAGACTGAAGGAATGTGATAGTGCAGACCCATGTTGTGTGATCATATATCTTTTTTGTTGTCTAAATAGAATGACAGGACTGCATTGTCTGCAATTTGCAAAATGACATGTTTTCTGTTTTCTCTGAGAAGTCTTTGTGAAAGGAAACAAAAGACAACAAATTTTACACTGATTTAGGAAAATAAGAAAAATGGCAAACCAATTCAAAGGCCACTCTAGCTCAATATGCTGTGTAACACATTCCCCTATTCACCTGAAAAGATAAACAAGGATATTCCTTTTCCACTGTTGGTCCTTAGCAGATGATCCCGAGAATATTCTCCTCTGATTCTGGTTGGAAGTACACAACTATTAAGACAGCAGCCTGGAAACCCTCTGCCCTATTAGCGTGTCTCATCCCTTTTCAAACAGCAAATTGATGGCCATCCATGGAAGTAACTTAACAAGAACTACAAGCCCTCGGATCAGTTTCAAAAGGCTTCTGTGCCTTTGGACAGTAACTTCCAAAAGCAGGTTGACCTTCATGCCTCAGACCTTTAAATTTATAATTGAGATCCAAGATTACTAAGAAATATGTTCTTTTATTTATTTCATTTCTATAGCCACCCATCTCAACAAATACCAGGTCTAGCCAAGTGGCACAACACATTGCGTGTGTGTGTGTGTGTGTGTGTGTGTGTGTGTGTGTGTGTGCTTATATTGAATTATTGGAATTGCTAGGCAGGATTAAGGTGAAATTTTAACTGAATGTGCATTTTTACTCAAAATTGCCATCCTGGGCTAGAGGGATCATGATCTCCTTCAGTAGAAGATAGCTTCTTCTTTTCCAAGAGCCTTAGGAAATGTAAACAACTGTTTATCTCAAAGTTGTGATCCTGTATGTGCTTATGTAGAAATAAATTCAACTGTATCCAGTGGAACTTATAAAGAGGTATAGGACAATGCCTTAATAGAGTTAAAGGGCACCTTCATGGCCTAGAGGTTTTTATTTCCAGTCCAGACAAAGAGAGTATGACATTTTAATTGTTATGTTATTTTTTGTCTATCTGGCTGCTGGTTCTGAGACAGACAGTTATGGCCTAGGTGAGGAAAAATAAATAAAACGGATCTCTTTCTTAAAGTAAACCAGTGAGAGGATGAGGGAACAGGAGACCTGTCTATAACCATGGAACCAATAACCTATGTTTGGCCTCTCTCAGTTCTGAAGCAGCTTCTAATTAGGCCTCTCTGCTCAGAACATTTTTTTATTCCTGGGAGACAGCCATTTTGACACACTTTGCACATACCTTTATT